TTGGAGTTTTTCATCTTTTCCCTCCATGTGGGCATTTTAGTGCACCAATCTCCTTCTTGCTGTTGAACTCTTGGGAATAACTTTTGCAGACCAGAAACTTTTGCAACAGATTCCCTACTGTACCCTGTCTTCTCTGTTAAGACATGGATTATTAGACTAATGTGATGGCTTTGTTTGCCATCTCTTATTGAATTCATCTTGATCACGGAATTGTGTGTTAGTTTTGAAAAGTTTTGCCAGCTTTATATACATATGGCATAAATATAGGGAGACATTTGGATATCATAGCGAAACAGATACAAGTGAATTGCAGGTGAAGTACGAAATAGAGAAGCTAATAAATCAGATGCCAATAAATCCGTTACTAATAAATCAAACGCTAATAAATCAGCCTTGATTTCCTTTATTTTTGGGTGATCGCGATGAGTCGATGTTTACACGGGAACCCAATCTGATCCGCCGATCCTTGTCACTTCCGTAAATCAACTCTGTCGCTCTATCTAGCAGCTTTTCTGACAAAAAATAATCAGTGTCAGCCAAAATTGGAATCGGGAGACAGACTTTTTAAAGATTGGTGATCGAACAGAAAACTGCAATCGGTGCACCTGTAGTCGTAAAATAGCGTAAATAAGCGCTAGTGCAGTTCTAAAAGCACATCGGACGAAAGATATTTCTATCATAGAGAAGATGGCACAAAAAAATGACAACAAAAGTGACAAAAAGCAGAATGCACACAAAAAGGTAGGGAGAGGACGCAAAAAGCTGCCGACAACCCCAACGACACAAGAGGAATAACTCTAATAATCCTTTCGAAATTGAATTTTACATGGACCTGGGTTATTTTTTTTTTATTTGTTTAATGTTCATTTAAACTGGTTTTAACTTTAAGTCTGTCTCACAATCATAAGTGAGACAAGAGCTCGAAAAAGAAATCTACAAGGGGGCCAATATTTTTTCACAGCACAACATGTGCAGTCATAAAAATAATAATAACCAGACAGCTGTAAAGACAAAGCAAGTGCAATAAAACTGCAAAAAAAAAGATGTTTTTCTTACCGCTTTTAAAATATTATATTTATTTAAAGTTAGACGTTTATCTATTGCATTTATTCACTGTTACTTTTGATACTCTAGTTTCAGCGAAACAAACAACGGCCAGCAATACGACCATGTTTAATAGTTGAGTTCTTGTAAGCAGTCTGCAGACAGCTGCTGCTTGAAGCTTGCCAACTATAGTTTTAAATGAGCATTACCTATAATGAGAGCATAGTGTGGAAATTAAGATTGCCATAACAGTGATGGTTTTTTTTTTTCTTCTTCTCCTCCAACCAAATTCCCCTTTGGTGTGCACAGCGAATGCCTCCTGAGCAAATTTTTGCTAAAAAAGAATAAAGAATAAGGGGAAAAAAATCACAGAAAAACGACACCGTCTCCCGACTAAAACAGGAAGTTGCGGCTGAAAAGCGAAGCCGAAAAGGCGTCCAATCAAAGACGTCTAAATGCGGTCAGAAGGTCAGATGGAGTTAATCATACTGGCATCCAAATGCTGATATTGGACATCATCTAAACAAAAAATGGATAGCCTGTGTTTTTTTGTTTGTTTGTTTTTTCTGAGCAAAATAAATGCAAGCGCTGCAAATGGACATAAAGTAAATATCCATAAGCAATTAGTGGCAAGAAAAACCTCATTAAAAGGAAACCGTAGGAATGATATGAGTCATGGCTGAATTTTTAAGGGGGGAGGGTTGACTCCCATAACTCATTAAAATTTAGTTCATCTGCCTCACAGTGAAAATCAACGTTCACGCTTCGTTTTTAAAGCGACGGGGTGCATTTTGTTTATTTGCAAAGACACGTCTTTTTTTGTTTGTTTTTTTTTTCACATCCAGGCTGCTTGACTGATTTCATTTCAACATACACAGGGACACAGACCTATGGACATCCTACACCCACCACCTTCTCCCCCCATACGGGTCAGAAAGGTCACAACAACTTGCAGGAAACATAAAGGGGAGTTAATTCAAAACACTTGACCCTTGGCCCCCAGTTAACATGTGCCCCATTACAAGCTCTGGCTCAATGCTCTACTGTGTGTGGCATCTTCTCTGTCTGAGTGTGAGTGTGTCTGTCTGTCCTTATGTGCTAAAAAGTGTCTTTTTTAGCACTTTATGCAAAACCACCCATATGCATCCCTTCAATGTGCTGCAAGCGAATATTAAAAGTGTGTCCAGATAAAGCGCTATTTTCTGCTGGACTCACTGTACTTTTGATATCAACATCAATCTCGGCCAAGTCGGTGAGTTCACTACTTTTGGGAGGTTAAAAGGTATCCTGTTAGCAAGTAGCAGGCTAAAGCTAAAGCTAACACTGGTCAGGAGAAAGGAGCCGTCCCTCACGTTAAAGTAGCGTCAATCACGTAAAAGAAAATCAATTAAAATCGGCTTCCTCGTTTGAAGACGTTCGTGGCGTCAAGCGCCGCATTCGCCTGGGACACCGAGGGCGGACTGAGAGCAGCGGCACAATGTGGCTACAGCGTAGCCTCCCCCCCACCGAGCGCCCCGACCGCTCAAACTTCAGAGGCGACTTATCAGTTATGCACGTCGGTTACTCGTTGATTCATCTTACGTGGAAGTCGAGCGGAGTCTCGCCGGCGGACACCTCGGAGGCTGAGTCCCCGCTACCAGCGGCGAAGCGGGGCAAAGTCGGGGCGGCCGGAGAGCTGTCGGTGCCCCCGCTGTGTGCCAGCCGCGATGCCCGGTAGGATTTGGGAGAGCTCGGTTGGCCCGGGCCGGTGTGAGAGAACCGGCGGGAGGGGGCGGCAGCGGCGGCTGCGGAGGGAGAAAGGATTCAAAATGTTCCTCCCTTGTATTTCAAATGTCAGCTCCAACTTCACTTAAAAGAAAGAGCCCAATATTTCTCTCTTTTTGTCGACTGGGGAGAGGGGGCATTAAAAAAAAAAGAAAAAGGAAAGAAATTCCTCCGAACCGTCGAGGGGGTCGGTGTTCTCCCCGCGCCTCCGTGCCAGCAGCACCGAGCCTCGTCCTTCTCCTCCCGGCGGCGGCACAGCGGTGCGGCTCCCGTTCCGGTTCGGAGACGAGCTGGTCCCGTCCAAGATGTCGCTTGTGATGTCTCGCTTCAATTAAATTATTTATAATAAGCAATCTCGGCCAACCACAGAAGCGATGCTGGGCAGAACTCCAATTTCCAGTCTATTTTTTTTTCTTCTTTCTTCTTCTTCTTCTTTTTTTTAACCGGGGAGGAGTTTACAGCGGGTGATCTTGGCACTCCATCTTTAACCGACATCAACAGGTCATCCCGGGACACAAATGCGCCGCAACTGTGGGCGAGACAGAGGGATGGATCCGCGGCATGGCGAGAGCAGAGCGGAGAGGAGAGGAGGGGAGTGTTTACGGGAACGGCTGGGAGAAAAGAAAGAAAACTGAACTTAGCCGGTTTGTTCACCGCGCTTTGTGATTTTAGGCGACGTTTGCACTTGCAGCTCGACGGACCCCGAAGAGACAAGGTGGCTTTTGAGGAAGTTCAGGAATGCGGGAGAAAGATGAGCCGGGAACTCATAGAGCCACTCACCGACCGGAGAATGGAGAGCAGGGGCGCCACAAGAGATTTTGTAATAGGGCCTTGGGGGGATACTCGGGTGCCATTTATATTAATACAACAACAAAACAACCTTTGACTGAATCTTGGGAATGTCTTGGATGAAGTTGTAGGTCTTGGCTTTGAATCCCAGTCTGTGGTCGTTCATGGATCTCTCTCCATGAATCTGTGGGTTCCGAAAATGTTCGTTTGGGTGGGCAAACCAGGCCAGTAACAATTTTATGAGTGCACAACTAAACCCAAAAAAATTAAGATAGCCTATATATTTATTGTATTAAAAATTGTTATTCTATTTTAAATTTTATAAATATACATTCATTTATTTATTTTTTTAGATGTATTTCTTGATTGAAGGAGATGACTCATGCTTTTCTCGTGGCAAATATTTTTTCCTGGACGGGGCCATTAACCCTTTACTCCACCCTTAGGGGCGCCACTGGTGGGTTCTCTCCAGGTTCCTCCCAAAGTTCAAAACATGACTCTTATGGTTGAATGGCCTCTGTAAGCTGCCTGCAGGTATGAGGGTCTGTCCTGTGTGATGCCCTATGATGGCCTGGCACCCCATCCATCGCAGGAAGACTCCTGGAGATGGGGTGTGGAGGTACTTGGGTGCATGGTGCTCTTTAACATCATGATATTAATCATGATGTCATGGCTGATAACCATTATTGGCCACCAGGTGGAAATAAACGTTGCTTGTTAGCTGGCCACGTTTTACTTATCGAACCAGCACCGACATCTTGGAAAAAATGGCTGACATCGAGCGACACTGATGTGGACACCGATATGTTGTGCATCCCTAAAACATTTTGCCACAATTTATGGCACGTGGTGAAACATCAAGTAGGTATTGCTTGATGTCTGATGAAATTGGAGAGCAGTGCCAGAAAAAATGGCATATATCTAAAAATAGGGCCCCACGAAGAAAACAGAAATATAAATAAACCCTGGAACCTGTAAACATTTGACCCCTCCTGTATTAAAACCATTCACATTATATTATACAGATTTTTTTGGGATGATCATTGCCCCCTCGGGCCCCCCTCTTGATGGCGCCACTGAAGGAGGGGGCCAGCGCAACAGAAGTGTGAAGCCGGTGTGAAGTGGTGAAAGTTTGGAGCGTCCCCATCCCCCCACAACAGTTGCCACAACTTTACCATCCAATTCAGAGCGAAACGACAGCAACAAAAACAAGGACTCACAATAGCTTCACCTTCACTTCAGCAGCTCGCCAGACCTCCCTGTTCACCCAGATTCACGAGGACGCCTCCCCACCCCCCACGACAACAGCGCTGGAACGGGACAAGAAGACGCCTCCGTCCCGCACAGGCTGGGACGAGTCCCGGAACCGCCGGCGACGAGTTGATCCGAACCTTTCAACTCACCCCTCCGATGGATCCTCCTGGAATTTCTTCCCGAATGGAGGAGCGGTGCACCAGAAGAAGAAGAGGTCTAGTTTCTCCCTCCGCCTCGCCACAGACAGTCATTCACTTTGACTGTATGCTGTGAACCAGCAGCAGCACACCGTTCACGCACACAAACACACACACACGCACACGCACGCATGCAGGCGAGGATTGGAGCTCAGAACTATCGAGGAGAGGGGAACAGAGAGGAGCAAAGCGGGGATTTTTTTTTCTTTTTTTCTTAACCCTCCCATCCATCCCAGGGGCTGCAGACTGATCACAGAGCCACTGATCGACCTGACAGACAGGCAGGTAGACGGACGCATGGTGGGGAGGAGGAAGAGAGGCGGGGGGTTTGGATGCTGTCGCCACTGTTTCGCCAGTGGAGCCATTGTAATGAACTGATATATGGCACCTTCCAGCAATCAATGACTCGGAATGATCTGGGTGAGTTTAACTGCTTCCTGTCATTAACCCGGCTTGAGGTGACAAACGGAGGTTGTCGATGCACGTCATTAGTGTCTTATTGTCAGATAAGAGACGAGCTCATGTGTGGCAATGAAGGAGGAAGAAAAAAACACAAAAAGCGCAGAAGTTCTACTCTTAATGTGAGTAAAGTATAGGCTTTATATATGTGGAATTTAAATTTGGCGGGAAGGTCGGCTGCATCAGCAAACCGCACATAAGCAGAGTAATCTGATTACTTTTAAGAGGCCGACAGATAGGAGCCCAAAGGCGTCGCAGGAAGCAGGTAAGACGTGCCGCGAGCGTCCCCAGCCGACCCGACCGTCTGAGCCCCACCCACCACCAGTCCACCCACTCAAAGCCCCGCACACTCACTTTTGTCTCCTTGCCGGTGGAAGCGACTCCCTCGTGCCCTCGCCCAGCCAAAGGACGGCGAAAGCCGTGGTGGGGGTGGAGGCGGGTGCGGGTCGCAGGTTCGATGCCCCGCTGTCCTCACAGAGCGTCTAGACTCCGGGCAGGTGAAGCCCCTCCAGGGCCTCCGGGCGCTGCGCACAGTGAATACTAAACAGGATGAGACTGCACTCAGGAGCGGCGCTGCGCTCCCCGCTCTCTCTCCCTGTCATGCCAAATACTATTAACTCTATAATTCTCCTGTGTCAGATGTATAGCGCCACGCTCTCTGGGCATCCATTGTCACAGCGCCCCCATCCAGATGTTCCGGTTTGTGTGGAGAGGCGCAGTACAGTACGGAGGCAGGTGATGCAAACAACGGCGGATGGGTTACCGAGTCGCTTATTCGCAGGTCTATTATATGTCCTCAGATTCCGTTTTTTTTTTTTTTTTCTTGGAAAGGATTTACTTGGGGAAAGTCAGCAAAACTCAAAATAGGCTATGTCAGACTTGTAGGTGTACGGCTTTTCCTTTTAGCCTTGACTCGAAGGAGTTCAGCGTTTCGGCAGTTTTGCAGTTTTCTGGACACTCGTTCCGGGTTTTAGAGGAGCATCAGAAGCAGAGCGCCGCTCCTGCCGGTTCGGCTCTGACTCCGGGAACGCAGACGTGCCGCCGATGTGCCCGGGAGACGATCGACGGCGTTGTCCGTCAGGTTGAAAGCCAATGGGGTCATGAGGTTCGACGACGACCCGGGAACCAGGACCCGTCTCCCTGGATGACGGGTTTCTCCTCGGGGAGACTGAGCCGGTTTGCCGCACAGAAGAAGTTCGCAGACGAGAAAACGTTACAAGAACGTTCAGCTATTAGTATTGAAGTTCACTGAAAACCTTAGCTGTCTGCTGGGAAACTGAAGATCAAGGGACGTTTTACTTTCTGCATTTCCGCTTTGTTTAACTTTATTCCGACTGTTTCGTCTCGCTCTGATGACACACAGGGGGAAATTGCTAAAAAATAAAAATAAAAAATGAAATTCGTAGTTATTAAGAAACACGTTTGCAAAGCGGCCGGTCAATTCTCTGCAGACACTGACAGAGCAGGGACCCTGCAGGCAAGAGAGGCAGCGAAATTGAATTTTGTGCAGGCGACTTGTCCAATAAAAAGGCATCGCTGTCACGCCGTAACGCAATACATTTATGGAATGCAAGCGGCCTTATCTTCTCCCTGCAGAGATATTCTCAGGCCCGTACTTCCTGAATCGGGGGAAACTGTGGCGGTTCTGTATTGATTAAAACGCGCCGCCAACTGCAAGCGCGGGGATGTTGCATTATTATTCACGAGAGCAAGACTGACGCGTTTTATGCATGTTTACTGGGCGAAAAGTAGGCCAGATTCCTGCTGACTGATGAACCCTCTCACTCTATTTTTCTTTTAAACGTCATTCAGTTTCTCTGCGGCTCGATTGGCGGCCCCTGCGCGGAGGAGCTGAGGCAGGCCGTTGTGGCATTTAATGTCGGCTGTGGCACGTGAAATTAAACGCCTTCTCAAAATGTTTCATTTGGAGGTTTAAACACGCCACTATTTAATGTGTATTGCAAATATTTCAGTCATCCAGTGTGTCAAACTTATGTTTCCCATATGTGACCTCGGTTACCACCTTAGTTATGTGTGAAGAACCTTAAGTCCTCTGGTGTTGTCTTTTTACCAGATCACACATAAGTTTGTAAAGAAAATGATCAGAGGCACTGATGCAAATTAACCACAGTTTATTTAATCACAATAATGCTAGGCATAAATAGTCAATTCATTTTTATTGTACAATATCAACCACTTTAAAATCCTAAATCTATGCTGGTCCTGGAAACCTTACCGCTGATGACCAGTTACTTTGATTAAATAAAATCAGACTTCTTGGGGGAGAAATAATAATTTAAAAAAAACAAATGTAACTGAATACACCTAGGTGTTCCCAAACAAAAACACACTCGCGCAACAAAAGAAAAACTTCCGGTGAATAACACAAAACAAGAAACTCCCCTTCCACTAGTCTCCTCAATCTAGATAAAACAGCTTGGAACCAGGGACAGCACAGGTTATCTACAAGCGAGCCTGGAGGGCTGAACAGTAAAAACTCCCAAAAGAATAAAAAGTTTAATCCATAAATAACCAAAACAAACAAACCGAAACAGTAGCAGGCCAACCTGCACACAACAGAGAATAAAATTAAACAGATATTTTAAATAACCACATAATAATGAACTGCCTTTACCTTCGCTAAAAGCTAGCAGAACTCTGTATATCCTCTCCAAGAGGAGGTTTCCTGCAATAAAATGGAGCCATCAGAAATAATTCTCAACCCAGCGCACACTTCATGTTAACCATACCTGCAGAGAAATCAGCCTGGACTCTCACCCACTCAGCGATCTACCCGCTTTTAAATATAAATACCGATTGCTTGCCTCCGTAATGAATCAGCTGCGCTAAAACAGCGTCTTCCTTATATGGGCAACCGGAAGAGTGCATAATGGACATAATGCCCCGGCTACACATAGGAGAAATTCTGTGTTTTCTGCTGCGGCACTGCGTTTTCCAGTTTTGAATGTGTTGCTATACGGATTTCCTTAATTGGCTGCTTATTTGTGCATGGATTTGCCCTGATCTAAGCTATTCCACTGCTCCAATTGGTGGAAGTCAAAGTTATTTAGGGATAACAATGTAAATGGGGCTGCATCTCAACAAATGCCGTTCAGATTTTTGGGTTTTGTGAAACCTTTTAGAAACCATTTTTCTTCAACTTCACAATCGTGGAGCACTTGCAGTTAGTTTATAGCACAAAGTCCAAATGTAACGCATTGAAATTTGCTGTGAAAGTGTGACAATGTGGAAAAAGGCCCGCGTGAATGTTGTATGACACTAATGTATTATTTATGACACGATGGGCACAACTGAATCCTTGCCATAAAAGTGTTATTTCATTGTCGTGGTATTTAGGCATAACGTCAACTCCACTTTCCCTATGGTAAAGAGATAAAGTGGCCTTTGTCAGATATCCAATATGTCTCCTTGCTTCCTGTATATTCAAAATGACACCACACACGCACGCACACACGCACGCACGCACACACACACACACACACACACACACACACACACACACACACACACACACACACACACACACACACACACACACACACACACACACACACGAGGAATTATCAGCCTAAAATAAAAGCTTTGACTTCCAACAATGGGATATACAAAACTGGAAACAAGTTAGTACATTTAAGAATTACACTTTAAATATCAACAGCGATTACAAGTATTTATTATTTGATAAGAGAGAATGACCTCTGACCTCTACATGCAAGATGGAATGTGGATGGGAAGAAAAGGCGTTTCTCTGTCTTTGAACGCTTATTTCAATATTGAACGGTAAATTATATGGCAAATTGACTTGCCATACAACAGAGCAACCCGACGGTTCAGACCTTCTGTTTGAGCCGCGCAGGCTTCCGTACTGTCCGCTGGAGTCATGGCTGCTCCCATGTGCTAGTTTGAGCAAACTGCGAAGCAAGCAACGCAGCAGAGCTGAAAGCATCAACACTGCGGGACAGAAAGGCGCTTTATAAAGCAGAGTAGAAGAAGTCCGAGAGACGGAAGTGTCGCAGGTAAATAAACAAAATGGTAGCCAAGCTGCCTGCTGAGCTCGACGAGCATCATGTATGTGAGGCGGTCCGCTTGTTTGCTTCGTTTCCTAAAACACACGCAGCATGGCTTACATGTACAGGCTCTTCGTCACTGAGTTCTGCGTAAAAACAAATAAAATAAAACACCAAACTGAATTTAAAAGCAGGTAAGAGAATATCTAGAAACGAAGGAAAATCATTTTAACTGTTTTGAGGGACAGTTTTCCGCTCAAAACGCCTGTTAAATAATATAATACACTCATTAGCAGGTGTCTTACACTGGAAATAATAAAAAGGTACTCGTAGTTTTTGAGGTTTCTGTGTGGAGTTTTATCTTTCAACGTTTTTATTTCCTGGCCTCATTCATATCTGGAACACGTACTGCCAGAATTGGCTTTCAACACAGAAATAAAGACACAAATTTATCATTTTTAGTCGTGTTAATGTCGCATAATCCTGGTTATTTCATTGTCTATATTATTTACAACCGTATTGTTTCATAAGGTGCTTATATGTCACTCATTCTCACTTGTTCATTTTCTGTTTTTATTTATAAATGTGTCTTTGTAATTATCAGGTGAGGTTCTTGAGCATCACACTGATTACTTTGTCGTCCAGCATATTTGAGAATGGGAAAAGTTTGGCGTGACTCAAATTCGTGACTAATGATTTGCGCACTTTGGTAAATACTCTCCAGATGTGTAGATCCGGGTAGTGGAAGACCTGCTGGTTTAATTGGTCCTTGATGTGGTTCTATAAAGAATTGACACACACAAGCCACACTTTTCAGATGCATT